AGGAAGGAAGGAAGGAAGGAAGGAAGGAAGGAAGGAAGGAAGGAAGGAAGGAGATACTGGAAACATTTGGGGTATAGCTTTGATGTAAAGATTAAATGATATGATGTATAAGAAATCATTGGTTGTGCTGAAATTTTTGCGCCCACTAACCTAGGAAGATGAATTCGATTTATCTGGATTTCAGGTAGTAATAGAGCCCAGACAGTTCTTGTAACATTGAATTCTCTTAAGAAGTTCTATTTAAGAAACAGTTGATCTGAAATCCCAAAAAAGAACTCTACTGAGATTTCATTTTGATTAAAAGATATTTTTAAACTCTCTAGAGTCTGTGCTGAGACTGCCGACCCTAACTCATGTTTTCTTAATTGAACCAATGTAGCATGAGTAATAGCAGGGAACGGTCATTGGGGTTTCACACACATTCTCACAATCATCCTCTGATGGGCCTATTCTTATCTCCATTTTAAAATTAAGCCTAAGTTTACAGAGGTAAATACTTTGCCCAAATACCACAGTTGATATGTTCCAGAGCAAGGCTAGACATGTTGACTCCACCCCCACAATCACAGCTACTGTACACACACTCTCTCTCTTTTTAAAGATTTTATTTATTTATTTGACAGAGAGATAGAGAGAGCCAAAGAGCACAAGAGGTGGGGGATGGCAGAGAGAGAGGGAGCAGCAGACTTCCCGCTGAGCAGGGAGCCTGATGCGGGGCTTGATCCCAGGCCTCTAGGACCATGATCGGCCAAAGGCAGACGCTTAACCGACTGAGCCATCCAGGCGCCCCCACACTGTCTCTCTTCACTCGGTGCCAGCCTTGTCCGAGGAGGTTTTCTGAAGATCTAATGCTGGTCAAAATTTCCCACCCCTTGGGGGCGGGGGAAGGGGGGCACGACGTAACACGCAGGCACGCTGAAAACAATCAACTTTAGGAAGCATAAAGGGGAGGGAGAGAAGGAACTGGAGGCGAGGAAGGGCAAGGTGAGCCCCTGTCTGGCACCTTCCTGAGGGCTGGGGTTATATTACCTTTCCTTGTCCCCACTCACTCACAGAGCCTGCAAAGAGGCCAGGGGGCCCCCCAGTATAGCTTCCTAGCCCTTTCTTCGCGCCGGGAGCTGAGAGGCTCTTCCTAAGAAGTGGCCGATCTTGGTTCCCCAGACCCGGATTCTGCTCTAAGCGAGAAGTTTCCCGCTTAATCTAGGCATAGACGAGTCAAGACTAGCTTCGCCGCCGCCCAGCCTCTGCTCCCTGGACCCAGCTCCCCCCGGCGGGGCCCCCACCCCGCGCCCACTAAGACTCCAGCGTGTTCCTCCAATCCCACGGGTGCCCAGCTGTCTCCACCTCAGTTTTCCTCGGCCGAAGAGTGGAGAGTTGAGTTAAGGCCAGGCCCGATGGATAGGCTTGGGTTGCAGAGCAAGGGTTCCACCCCCCAAGCCCACAAATCCTCTAGGAGAGCCCCCTTCGGCCGGGGATTGACCTCGGCAGCTCGGGCCTGTACCGTATGCACCGAGGGACGAGCCGCGCGCCCTACTCTCTCCCGTTTCCCTTGCTTTTGAGAACGGTCTACACAAACCAAATCTTTCCGGAAGGTGGCTGGGGGTTGGAGAGGAATTAGAAGGGCGCGGGAAGAAAGCGCCTGGGGGAGGAAGGTGCGGGTTAGCACGTGGTTTCTGCCTGGACCAATGAGGGTTGGCGATCTCGTCACTTGGCCTCCTCGGTCATCCCGCCGGCTGGGATGGCCCAGAGGAAGGCGCAGTGCTGGATACTGGGCGTCTGCCCCAGACCTTGGGTCTGCGGTGCTTGCAGCGACAAGACGGGAAGCTCAGGGCCCTGCGCTCCTGGGGGACGGGGGCCTCCCCAGCCCTGCCTCCTCCGCCTTCGGGATGCTGCTGAACCCTGTCACCTCCACCCCCTTCTCGGTCAATGACATCCTGAGGCTGGAGCGAGAGCAGATTGGTTCCGAGTCCTTGCAACTCCGGTGTGCACGTAGGAGCCCTGAAAGCTTTCAGTGTCTGCGAATGGTCCCAGAACCGCGAAAGGCTGAGGTTCCCAGCACCTGCAGGGCCGGCGGCGGCGACCGCGGGAGAAGGCAGGACGAGTCGGGGTCTTCTGGTGGTCCCTGTGAGATGGTCACGGAGATGGACGCGGAACGGGTGGGGCAGCCACGTAAGTACTCGTGCTCAGGTCTTGGCCCCTCAGGGAGATCACGGCTGTGGGGGGATGGTCACTACCAGCTGGCGCGTGCGGGTAACACGCGTCTCTGGGTCCTTCCTGCTCCAAGGGCCTAGCCCCATTTGCTCTTATTTGAGATTCCAAATGACAGATCTCTCAGCCCCTTCTACCATCTCCTCCGGACACCCAGTGTGCTTCCCGCGCCCCTATCCAAATAAGGTCCCGCATCTTAGGCATTCATAATTTCCACAGCCTGGCCTCTGATTCCCAAAAACGTATCAACCCCCACTCACAGCCACACTCCCCAGAAACTCCAGCTTCTCTTTCTTACAGCGAAACCCTCCACAGTATCTTAGCTGTGCTCCGTGGCCACCAGACTTCCCCGCCAGGTCCGCCTCTCTCTACCCTAAAGCGTCTGCCAGAAGTGTAGCCATCAAAGCAGCCGAGCGCCGGAGAGTGAAAACCCGGCCGGCTCTGGGGTCAATCGCAGCCCTTTCTTGGGGCTTGCTAAGTGGCCTGGCCAGCCCAGTCAATCCTCCCCCCGGATTCCTGGTCTGGACAATAAGAGGAGGTGACCAGATCAGGTCATGTCTGAGTCCCCAGGCCTGGACGGCCCTGCGGGCGGGGCGGCCGATCCTCCGCGTCTGGGAGCGTAGTAAGGGGAGCTCCGGTTTCGCTGCTCTGGGAGACGACTCTCCGCTCGCTCTCCGAAAGCACAACCTTGGGCGCGGACAGCGAGGCCCCGGTACCTGCATCCAGCGGCAGGAAGGCAAGGAGCGGGCAGTGAGTTGTGTTGCCTTGTCTCCTGCGACCCGGGAAGCCTCCGCAGGGGAGTCTCGACGTTCGGAGGGATGAAAAAGCCTGTCTTCCTCTCGACAAATCTCTGCACCTCGGTCTGCAGCCTCCCGGTGTGCGTCTAGGGGCCCCAGCGAGGCCTCGCAGGTCGGCCTTCCTCTGCCAGGCTAGGTCACGGCCCATCCATTCAAGGCGCAAACGAATAAGTAAAGGGGCTAGTTCGCAGTTGTTCGTCGACTGGTAGCCTGGTTATTCATCAACTCCAGGAGCCTGGAGAACATTAAACTTTGCTGTGTTTGCGGAGAAGTCGGGGGTTTTCTGCAGTGGACTCTAAACACTAATTCCCTCGGAGATGCTTAGCCAACTCTGCGTTCACTCTGGCCTTGCTGAGAAAGGGTCACAGTCCTTTCTGTCACCCTGCAGCCGAAGGCTTGCGAAGCGCGTTCCTCCTCCTCTGGCGAACCCTGGGCAGCATCTAAGCGGCTGCCTGTCCTGGACGCCGAGAAGGGGCCTGCGCCCCGCTCCAGGAACCAAGCCCAGGGCCGCTGCAACGATCGAACCTTCCTGGTAGACGCTGCATGCCTATCTGTCCCCAGCCGAACCACCTTGCTTTCAAGGACTCAGGGCAAGAGGGGCTCCAGACGGTGACCAGGAGGGCACAGGGTGCTGGTACGCACCCGGTCGCCTCGCAGCCCCATGGCCTGCCTGGTCAGGGACTCTCAAATGGGGTCCTGCTAGTTCCAAAGAGCTGCTGAAGGTCAGTTGTTACTTTTCAATTTGCTAAGAATAAAACCCCAGCCCGTGTTTTTCCTCTTTGAAAGAAGAGATGTCCCCAGTTTCTCTGAGCACAGGCTTCTCTGGAGGAAGTTTTTATTTCCCCAAACTTCAAATACCAAACAGCCCATCACCTGCCCCCAGGAGATTGTGTCAATGCGGTTGGGGATTTGAAGTCCGGTTGCAATCCGCACCTCCTCTAATTAGGTGCTTCACCTCGCCATGAACTTGCAGCCACTCCACATTCCTGGCTTCTCCTGGCATGCTTTCCCATGAAAACTCAGCCTTTCCTCTCTACCCACCCTTGGGTTAAAAAAGAGCTTAGCCAAGACAGAAGATAGGTGGGAAGAAGGGAAGGAAAGGGTGTATTGCCTCGCACTTCAGGAACAGCCGCCCCCGGTTGATGGGCTAGGGCACCACCCTGGGGAAGAGGGAGTCAGAGCGAAACCAAGGCCACCTGCTTACCAAAGAGACCCCAAAGGAGAAAGAGGCTGCTTTTTAAAAAGCCAAATGTGGATCTAAACTTTGTATATACCCCCAAGAGACCCTCAGTTTCTGAGCCAAGAATCAGGAGTCAGAAAAATATTCCATTTGCCTTTATTTTATTTTGCTAATTTGGATTACAGAGCATCTCATCCAAGAAAGATGGGACAGGTCCCTGGTGCAGATGGCGCACTTGACGAGCAAAAAGACAAGGGTGTGTGCAAAGGTGGGGTGAAGGTGGGAGATACTCGGGACACCCGCCCCTGAGCTTGGATCAGAACACCCCGTGATTCGCGGGGGACCACCACGGATAACCAGGCAGACAGGAACCCACGGGCAAGCACGTCACCAAGTTTTCACGCTCTCTCTCGCTCTCTCTATCTCTATCTCTTCCTCTTTCTCCACCCCCTCCTTTCCACCAAGGGCAGTCCAAAATCAATTTCCATCTAACAGTTCCCCCACATTCGCACTTGGTCCTTGCGGCTAAAGCTCCCCCAAACTCGACCACACTTCAGAATCGAATCACAGCGAATCGCCCCCCCCACCCATACACAGACATTCTAAGAAGAAAATGAAGTTGTCTTAGACCCTTGATCAGCTAGCTACCTTTTGGGAAAAGGCTGCACACCAGAGACCCTAGAGTGTCACAATTTACGTATGTGCGTGCAGGTACAATCGTGACAGAGCTTGGAGGAAAGGAACCTACGGACCCTCTGGGGACTGGGGGAGGGGTCAGCAGAGGGAACAGAAGGGGACGCGAAGTGAAGGCTACCAGGGGAGAGGGGAGTCCCTTAAAAACAACGTTAAGACTTGCTCAGGTAAGCCTGAGGCTGGGCGCTGACGCTGTTCCTTCCTGTGCTTTTAGAGCCGGGCCTCAGCGCAGCCCCGCCCCTCCACGGCGGGACCAGGGGGCCAGAGCGCTGCGTTGGCGACATTGGCATCGGCGCGCGCGGGGACGGCACCGAGCAGCCCAAGGCGCGGCAGCGGCGGAAGCCGCGCGTGCTCTTTTCGCAGGCGCAGGTGCTAGCGCTGGAGCGGCGCTTCAAGCAGCAGCGGTACCTGTCGGCGCCCGAGCGCGAGCACCTGGCCGGCGCGCTGCAGCTCACGCCTACGCAGGTCAAGATCTGGTTCCAGAACCGGCGCTACAAGTGCAAGAGACAGCGCCAGGACAAGTCCCTAGAACTGGCGGGCCACCCCCTAGCGCCGCGCCGGGTGGCGGTGCCCGTGCTGGTGCGGGATGGCAAGCCCTGCCTGGGCCCCGGCGCGCCGGCCTTTGCCGGCCCCTACGGCGCGGCCGCTGCCGCGGCGCCCTATTCCTGTTACGGCGGCTACGCGGGCGCTCCTTTCGGCGCAGCCTACGGCGGGGGCTACGCGGGTGCGCCGCCGGGTCCCGCGCCGCCCGCACCTCTGGCCCGTGCCGGCTTCGCTGGGGGTGGCCCCAGCGCCAGCCCGCAGAGCCATCTGCCCGCCCCGCTGCAGGGTGTCAGGGCCTGGTGAGGCGCCTGGGCTCCGTACGGCCACCGTGTCCTGGTGCCCCGTCCCAGCCTCTGCGCACACCCGCTTCGGCCGGGAAGAGCGGCGGCGGCGACGGAGGGAATAGGCGACCCGATGGCACTTCTCCCTGAGCAATCCCCGGAACTGCGAATTGTCCCCAACAGGGACAATTCGGACATCCTGCTGAGGCACGGGGGGACATTCTTCTCCGCAGGGACCTAAAGCCGGCCGCCCACAAAGCAGCACCGGGAGGGAGGAAAGCCTAGGGTGGCTGGCAGTTTCGGGTGTCGGAGCAGTACTGAGGCAGGGGACTTGTCGGGCCTCAAAGCCAGGGTTTGCGGACAGGCCCTTTAATTTGTGTGCGGCAGCCCGTGGGCCTGGCCCGGGGGAGGGGGGGTGTGAATGGGGGTGCGGTGCTCTAGAGGACCTCGATCCTACATTAAAGGCAAGAAGTTGGGGATGAATGTGAAAAGTAGCGGAGTGAGGTGTGCGAACCCGAGTGGAAGAGCGGCGGAAGGGGAGGATCCCGGGGGTCAGGGAGAAGGACTATTGTGTGAGCCGTGCCCTCCTGGGAGTTTAAGCTGCCCCTCCCCCTCCCTCTCCCCCCATCCCGCCCCCCGCGCCCCAGTCTGCTCTCCGAGGATTCCGTCTTCATTCTCCGGGGACAAGGTTGCTCTCTGGGAAGGTATCCTGTACATTCTGATTCTCCTCTTCACGGTCACTGCATTTTATTCCGTGTACACACTCTGGCACCTTGAGTAAACATACTACATATATTTGTGTGTGTGTGCATGTGTGTAGACCACTAGAATCTCTCCACCTTTCCTTACCTCCTCTACAACTGCGAATTAAAATAAAAAATGAAGCCCAGAAGTTCTGGATATACAGGATTCCCTAGGGAAACGAAATGGTTGGAGCCCTAGAGATAGGTTACCTGATTTCTTCTCTCACAGCCCCCTCTCCCTCTGTAGGGTTTCTTTTAAAACATAACCCTTTTCTAAATTGGGTTCGGGAAAGGAGGCCTCCATGTGTCCGTGAGCCAAACACCATGGGTGGAAAGCCTGAACTTTAGGGGAATTATGACTCCCCTCCCCAAATACGTTTGAAGTCATGCAAATTGAAGACTGAAAACAAGCTCATTTTATTAAGGGGAACAAGGGATCAAATACATTTATCCTCCGCCGGCACTAGTAGGGAAACCAGGCTCTTGTTTTCTCCTGGATAACATTTTTAGACAATGAAAACTGATTCTTCACCCCCCCACCACTACCTCGCCAAAAGTTAAATTCTATTTAATAAATTTGAGTATTTAATCAAAATGTACTCGTCCTGCATTTGCTCATTTCTGAACATGTCCTGGTTGTTTTCATGAAGGTGGGAAACAGACTTCTTGGTCCTTTGTAAACTATACCTGGCTATGGATAGCTTACATCTCCTAAAGTTTATGTGTTTAAGCTAAAAACAAGAGTACCGTTCTTTTTTCTTACTACCATTTCCTTACATTTTCCCTTCTTTTTATTTTCATCCTTTTCTCTGTTCTCTTTGCTGTTAATAAAAATACATTCAGGGGCGCCTGGGTGGCTCAGTCGGTTAAGCGTCTGCCTTCAGCTCGGGTAGTGATCTGGGGATCCTGGGATCCAACCCGCATTGGGCGCCCTGCTCAGCGGGGACCTACTTCTCCCCCTCCTCCTGGCTTGTGCTCTCTGTCACTCTCTGTCTCAATCTCTCAAATAAATAAATAAAAATCTTTAAAAAAAAAAGAAAAAAGAAAAAAGAAAAACAATACATTCGGAAATACCCCACAGTGTCTTGCAGTGATAGTTAGTGCTGTGCTCCTGAGGTTAAACAGGGCAGTATGTATACTTTAAATTTGGACCTATCAATAAATATTCCTTAGCCAATTAAGATAAGATTAAAAAAATGGGGGTTACAGTTAAAATCTCCATCGTGAGGAAATGGCCATCCAGTGTTATCAACCCTCTTTTGCTTTGGGGGGTATTCCTTTTTTTTTTAAGATTTTATTTATTTATTTGACAGAGAGAGACACAGCGAGAGAGGGAACACAAGCAGGGGGAGTGGGAGAGGGAGAAGCAGGCTTCCTGATGAGCGGGGAGCCCGATGCGGGGCTCAATGAGGGGCTCGATCCCAGGATCCCGGGATCATGACCTGAGCCAAAGGCAGACACTTAACGACTGAGCCACCCAGGCGCCCCTTGGGGGGTATTCCTTACAAGAGGGATACTGGGCTTACATTCATGACAGTTGACTTTAAGTTCGGTGCTTCTACTGAGTAACCATCTGTCTAGCCCTCAGTTGTTAAGTGAGTTGTATTGCATTTTTCCAAGATCAGATTCTAAAATACTACATGGTAATTTTAAAAAAATCCTTTGTTGCCGTTCTTTGGGTAAGGTCCTTACCCTAGAAATGTAGCTCATCATCGCATGGATCTAGCAAAGTCCTGGGCACAATTAATAAATGTTAGGTTCTTTACCCTTTTGTCCATTCTAACATAGAAAAGTAACCCAAGAGGCAGTTAGCAGACGTGATGTTCTGAATAGGACTTGCGTCCCAGGCTCCCTCCACACTTTGTACCGCGTGGAAAAACACAGGAGGAAAAGCCAGGGCTTGGTTAAGTCTGTGAGTGGCGGGGGGGGGCGGGGGGGGGGCAGGCTTGGCTCAATCATCTGTAACTCAGTCATCACCGAACATTTCTGGAAGGGATACAAAAGGAAATAAGATTTGGCTGCTACCCTTAAGAAAGGTATTATCTAATTGGATACCGGAGACTAACATGAGAAAGGTATCTAAAAATACACGGTGGTAGATGCTGCATGTCAAGTAGGACAGACAATATGCCCTCTCTAGAAAGAAGGAGAAGGTGTGGGGGAGGAGCTGGGTGCTCACAGGAGATGATTAAGCCTGGTGATTAGTGTGGGAATGACACTGTTTACTGGGAGAGGTTCCAGGAAAGGTCGAAGACTTAGGAACAGAGAAAAGTTAAGTGGGCACATGCCAAAGCCATGGTCATATTTTACAGGAGTTAGATACAATTCAAGGCTAGCTTCTGGGAATTTGTAAACGCATTCAGTTGGCCAAAGGGGTGTGGGTGGTGGCCGGGGTGTTCCTCTCATTTATGCCAAGGTCCTTTAGCAGTTCCGTTGATTTATGACATTTTCTCTTCTGCTAGCCAGATAATTGTAGCATCCACCTTTGCTGGTCTAAACAAACAAACAAACAAAGACCCCCAAAACTAAACTCACAAAATCTTGTCCATGTGCAATCCATGTGGCTTTCTCTTCAGAGGAGAGCCTGGAAGTTTGAGATTCTCAGGGCACCAAGGATTTCATTCCAAAAGGAAAGGGGAGGGGAGGGGAGGGGAAACTCTCTTCTCCCATCTCCCTACTTTCTGCCTGTCAAGATCACTTTAAAAGGATCCCTCTCTCAGCTCATCAAGCCCCCCGCCCCGCCCAGCTGCCCATCTTCCATCCTGTAATCTCTCCTTCGCTCTGAAAGCTGCCCCTTTGTGTGTGCGTCTTAGGGTCCCCGGCTTATCCAAGGCCCAGCTTTCACCAGGGAGGCGCGCTCTGCAAGCAATCAGCTCTTATCTGCATCGTTCAGGCCCGTCACTCCAGTCACCTCTTAATGTTCACAAATTTCCCAAATGGGAAGTAATTGACCTCTAAACAAAACAAAAAAGCTCTCAGAGAGATAGCAGAGGTTCCTTTCCTAACTGTCCCAGGGCTAGGGGTCTCACCTAGGCCAGGTGGATAAGTCAATAAAATTGCAGACTTCCTGGCTCCCTGTCCTTCCTTCCCCCCTCCCCAGCCCCTTCAAGCCCTTCATCCTGATACCATCTGTAAATCAGATGGAGCCTGAGTGCAGCTCTACATTTCAGAGTTGCCAGAGATTTCTGGTATTTGTTTTTTTGCAATGTTATCGCTACAATGATGTAACTCTGGAGGGACATATTTAAATCTTTTAAAATTCCATTTGAAAAGTGTTTATGCCAACTCTTCATTATATCAGCCTACTAACTTACCTTTTTTTCTTTTTCCCCAAACAAGGGAACTTCCAGGCTTAGAAAGCCGTGCCTTCCACCTTCCCACAGAGAGGACTCTTCAGAGAGATGGAAGGCAGCACAGGAACACTGAGTTAAAAGTTGTTGGACCTCATTCTAGTCCTGCTTCGACTGGTAACACATTCTGTGACCTAGAGCAAGCCTGTAACTTCTCTGGGCTTCAGTTTCCTTACTTAGAAAATTGAGGCCGTGGATCTCTGGGGCTACTATTCTAATTTTAAGTGGCTTCCTGTGGCTTTCAGATACATTTATATTTTTTCAATTGTAGGATAGATCATATCCAGAAAACTACATAAAACATATATGTACAATTTAAGGAATAATTGTAAAGTGAACACAGATGTAACCCCCTCTCGAGGCAAGAAACAGGGGGTGCTGGTTCCCCAGCAGCCCTTCTCCCCATGCCACTTCCAGAATGCAAACCCCTCTCCTCCTTCCTTCCCGGACAAGGGAGATACCAGCTATTCCTACTTTTGTGATGATTATTTACAGGCTTCTCTTTGTGGATTTACCCACGGGGACACATCCCTCAACAATATGGTTTCATTGAATGTCACATAAGTAGAATCATACTGCATGTACTCTTTTCTGACTTGTATTCAACTTGATGCTTGGGAGATTTATCCATGCTCTTGTGTGGACCTTTAGTTTGCTCATTTTCCTCTCCTCCTTCTCCTACTTCTGCCTGTTCTTCCTCCTCCTCCTCCCTCTTCTTTTAGTGTTTTAAATTTTATTTTATTATTATTTTTTAAGTAACCTCTAAGCCCAATGTGGGGCTCAAACTCATGACTCCCAGATCCAGAATACCAGGCTTTACTGACTAAGCCAGCCAGGCCCCCAAGTTTGCTCATTTTTATTGCTACATCGTATTCCATTGAACGCATGCACCTCAGTGCGTGTATTTAGTGAAAAAGTAGTTGGTTTCC